ACTGATTTGCTCTTGTATCCCCATCTAAGACCAAAAGTCAAAGGGAAAGTTATTGGATCTACTTTTGGCTCTCTCTTCCCCATTTGTTGTTCTTGATGTTTTGGGTGGGATATATCCTCCTTAGGTTAGCATACCTGCTCATTTCTGTCCCCTGGATTACCATTGTGCTTGTTCCTCCTGAAGTCTCTTTGAATTCCTCTGTTGTGTTTCCTTGTTGCTGAGTAACCATTGTTGGCTGGAGCTATTAACTGCTGCATACTTCTGTTGCCATGTCCAAGCTTGCAGCCACTTTCTGTCATTTTCAGAAATCACTGGTGGTTTCTGTGGCTGGATCTACACTGCCATACTATGTGGTTTGAATACTATGCAGTATTAAGGTATATAGTTAGTGTAGACCCATACAATGCAGCTCAGTATAAGAAAATTGCATTATATGGATCTACACAGATCTTGTAATACAGATTAAATGGCAGTGTAAATCCAGCCTATGTCAACAGGACAGTGAATCCATCATTTTGGCTTAACCTTTAAGGGAGATATATCCAAGATATTGAACCGTACCACCAAATAGCTCCTTTAATATTTGAACTTTGTTATTGTCATAGTCACCCACTATTTTGTTATTATTGTAGCCACCCATTATATTTGTTATTATTATCATTATTGTTACAATCATTCATTTATGTATCTCCATCACCAAATCAGGGTGGCCTGAGCATTAGACTATAGCTCTGGGAATCAGGGTTCGGATCCCCTCTCAGACATGACTATCAAGAGTTATCTTGGACAAATTGCACTCTCTCAGCTTTAGAGGAAAGTGAAGAAAACCAAATAATAGTTTTGCTTTAAGAGTAGACATAAGACAGAAATGGCTTGAAGGCACACAACATACCTGCTGGCCATATGGTAGCTTGGGCTATTTAACAATATGTTAAGGAGAAGTATTAGAATTATATATGGCCCTTTGAAAGCAACCATAACATTGATATAGTGAAAATGAGTTCGACAACCTTGCTGTACCAGCAGGAATACTGGAATACCAAGTTTTGCAGCGACCATAAGGATATACCAGTATATATATATATATATATATATATATATATATATATATATATATACACCAGTATATATATATATATATATATATATACCAGTATATATATATATATATACACACACACATACATACAAATAAACATGTGGGCCTCCTTGGTGGTGCAGTGGGTTAAACTGCTGAGCTGCCGAAATGGTGGTGGTTCACATCCAAGGAGCGAGGTGAGCTCCCGCTGTTAGGCCCAGCTTCTGCCAATCTACCAGTTCAAAAGCATGCAGATGTGAGTAGATCAATAGGTACTTCTTCTGTGGGAACGTAACAGTGCTCCATGCAGTCATGCTGGCCACATGACCTTGGAGATGTCTACTGACAATGCTGGATCTTCAGCTTAGAAATGGAGATGAGCACCACCCCCCCCCAGAGCCATACACATATACACCCACAAACACACACGGCCTATGGTTGGCTTACATATGTGTATGCCACTAACAAGATGGCAGCCAATATGTGCCAAAGTTTCTGTCCTCCATATACAGGTTCTGATTTCCAGTTCTCAACATAACTGGAATTTCTCCTTTGTCTTTTGGTTTTGTGAAAGGCTTTGCCTTGAAAGGAAAACAACCTCAAAGTGCAAATAGTTTCCTTTAGGAGGCAAGAGGATAAAAGGTGGGAGAACCTGCCAATGTATATCAATTGCTAGTGATGATCTTCCACACACAGACATCTGATCTAAGCACTCTTTCCCTTTGATGAATTGAGCGGCTCTCTCCCTGCCCCCATGCCACCATATATAACACGCCGAAAGGACAACCTGTCATCCCTTTTTTTTTCCTGATGTGTTTCATATACATATTTAATATATTTTGCTGTTCGGCGATATATTAGACTGTATTACTTAGCCATAAAAATCTCTAGGAGACGTGCTCGTCACTGGTTTGGAAAATTACATTAGCAATATATATTCCATCTGTGTAGAGACTTGGCCCATTACAAATTTATGCCCTTAATAAATTTTGTTCCTGAAACGGAGTTAGTTTCATAGGGGAGGCTCCCAGAAATGGGGTGAGTAGGTGGGTGGAAGAAGGGGAATTCTAATTTCGGAACAATAACCAATAAATATTAAGTGTCTCTTTCAAGTTGGCTAATAAAACATATTGATTACTCATTTGCTGCTTTAATTCTCTTATCTGCACAGGCACTAATTGCTTTCTTGAAGAGCGACAAAACTTTGCGTTTCCTCCTCCTTTTTTTCATCCTTGTCTTCTTTCAATTTTCACTCTCTTTCGTCATTTTGAATAAGTTCATTAGGAACATACATCTATTATTTATTGGCTTAATTTCCAACTATTGCCGCGATAACCAGGACCAATGTGGAATTGTTAGGTCTGCATTGAAATGTGCCAACAATTTCATTAGTAGGCCTAATTAATTAAAGATGAAGAGGAGATGGATCGCTCTGAACAGAAGGGAGGAGGTGGGTCAGGGAGAGACAGCATCAAAGGAAATTCTTAATTGTGTGACATATTAAACCTCATTCCTCTGTAGCCACATCCTTTGTCCAATTACTTTCAGTCTCCCACATTTTCAGTGTCTGAACATGAGGTTTAGCAGGGCAGAATTAATGATTAGAATTTGCCACGAAGGAAAAAGTATGCATGGCATTCAGTGACACATTATAGGTTTTCAATGGCTTTTTTCCACAGAGAATCTTGGCAATTGTAGTTCAGTAATGATGAGAAGAAAGGCTCTCTAAGGCACAGGTGGGCAGAGTTGTTGTTAAGTGAAGCCAAGTGCAAAATCGAGGCAAAGGAAAGCAGTCAAAAATTAAATACAACACAATGAAAACTTATTTTTAAATTTTAAAAAAGCCTGAACAAGATACTTCTGAACATATGCTCAGCGCAGGGAATTTTCCCCAGAGTCTTTCACAGGTAACTCTGGTTATGTTTATGCTTAACGGCTGCAGTATGCTTCATTGAAGCAGCTTTATTTAGGAGTGCTGGGAAAGCATTTCATGTTTGCTAATGTCCCACTGTATGAAGTCAGAAAAAAATCCTGATCTACAACAGGTGATTATCTGGAGATTTACTGGTAGATTCTGATATACCTTTCACTTACCTGTCCTCTAGGGAAACAGGCTCAGATAGCTCCCAGGATTTGGTTTTTGTGATAATAAACTTCACAATCTATGCCATGAAACTATTATACATTTCTGGAAGAATATTAGCAAATGCAGACAAATCACACCCGTGCACTTTAAAGCAAGACTATTCACACTTCCATTTTAATTGCTATAGTTTCATACTGGGGAATCTTAGGTTTTGTAGTTTCATTACGGTATACAGAGGAACATCCTTGCTGAGTATCCTAAAGGGTCCTCTGTCAGTTGAGATACCAGTATTATCAAAACACCAAAACCTCAAAACACACCCCAAAATCTGGGACTAAATTCAGAGCCCGTGAATGACTTTCCCTCCAGAAACCCAGTTCTAGGCGATTTCCACAGTGAACCCGTTGAGTTGTGCAAAAGCACGTATACACACCTTTAGACAAATACCATATTTTTATCTCAAAAGAGACATAATCTCTTCACAATACTTTCAAAAGTCTCACAATAACATCAACAACAACTACTAGTACAGCTTTATTCTTGTATCCTTCCACCATCTCCCCGAAGGGACTCAGAGCAGCTTACACAAGGCACAAAGTGCTTAAAAGAAGACATGACATAAAACACAATATAAAATACAGTCGAATAAAACATGTAACAACAGCAAAAAAACAAAAAAACAAAACAAAAAACAAACCTCAGAATAAAACAGTGCACATTCTTCAGTGGTGATAGCTAATGTAAACATGCCCAGGCTGTAAACAGTAGGGCCAAGGAAAAGTAGAGAGCTGTAACCATAGAACGAGGTCATGGGATAAAGTGCAAGACTGCATAACAAAATCATAGATCATCTAGGTACTAGGCGTTCTCACAGTAGACCAAGGGAAGAGCCATGGGGAGGTGGGGAAGTCCCAACTGGACTTCAGCTCTGGGAACTCACTGAAATATCCAGCTCATGATGAGACCCTCTCCCTGGGAATTCATTCAAGCCTAGCCAACTCCCACACCACCCATTGTTAGATTAGACTCAATCCATCATTCCATTCTAGAGAGGTGAGATAGGGGCCATTACCACCCATCAGCCCAAACCCTTCCCACATACACACATGAGAGATGGAACCAACAACAGTCACAGAACTTTAAAAGGACCAAGGACAGTTTATTAAAGTTCCTGCCAAACCTGGAAACCAACCAGGAGCAGTGGAGGATGACACGTGTTAGCCAACCAGCTAGTGGATCCTAGTTAGCCCTAGGCTAAACCTCCACCCAAGTCCTTTGTTTCAAAGTGCTGTCAATGTGCTATAAATGGTTCTGTGTATGTTTGCATTAAGTTATGTCAGTCTTAGGAGTGTAGATTCGGCTGACATCTGCTTTGGACAAGGTGAATAAATGCCTCTGTTCTTTGCCTTCAACCCTTCCATGTCTTATTTGATCATTTGGAGCTTGGCATGCCAGGCCCCAAACTTGCTGTACTTGAAGAAGCTGAAATCACATAACACCAGGATTCCAAAAGGTGTTATGGAATTTAAAATGGAATCATAGCACTATAACTATGTGCAGTGTTCCCTCACCGCCTCGTGGTTCGCTTTATACGGACTCACTGTTTCGTATTTTTTAAAAATAATGTATGTTTTAATAAATATGAATTTATTGGTGCTGGTGGGCCATTGATTGGCATTGGCGGAGGGAGGACTATGAGATGTTGCTGTTGGGGAAAGAGGAGGAGGAGGAGAGGAGGCCACCACTGAGAGCAAGAGAAGCTCCTGTCTGCACCTCCTTCCTACTCCAGTGAGCTCTCCCGCCCTCCACCTCCTGGCCTGCCTGCTTGCCTGCACCATGGTGCCCAGCGAGGAGAACCAGCTGGTCCCCAAAGAAGTAAGCAGGCAGCCCCAAGGCCCAAAGGCGCTAGAGGTGGAGGAGACAAGGTCGGGAACAGGGTCGGGAGGGTGAGGGCTGCCTTCGGCAGAGAAGGCCTCGGCCAGGCAGGTGCATTCTTTTACTTCTTCCCTGCCTGAGGGCCAGGTCCGGCCTTTCACAGTGGCCACAGTGGCCTTGTATCAAAACGTTGGTGATTTAGGAAGGGGGGGGGAGGGGGAGCCAGGCATCCCTATTTCACGGATTTTCACTTATCATGGCGGGTCCTGGAACGGAACCCCCGTAATAAGTGAGGGAATACTGTAGTGTGAATGGGCCTCTTGTGAAATTACAAGGCAGGGCCAAAGAATCAATGACACTCCAAATGTTGTCAGTTTACAACAGGGATGCAAAACTTCATTTGTGGAATAAATGCTCTGTTAGGCCTTCCTTCAGACATTGGACACTGATGAAACTTCTATGCAATTTGGATCAATTGGGGCGGGGGTGGATAAGAGTGGAATCATTTTCTCTGCAACAAATGCCCCTGATTAAAACAAATAGTGTATTGGAGCCAGCTGTTGTTCTGCTTGGAGCAGACCTAATGGAATCAATGGGATACCACATTGATTTCATTGTGTCTATAGGGACTATGTCTGGATCCAATCTCACTCAATATAAACACAATATAATGAATCCAAGACCAAAGTATTTCCAAAAAATAATATGCAAGCATTAAGGTATCAAATATAATGAGACTGAGGTATCCAAAACCCTGCATCCCTCCACTATTTTCAGGTTCTTATTGTCAGCAAAGCAATTCCCAAGCATAATCAATGCTTTGTATTAATATACAAAACCAGAGAATCTGCAGGAGAAGAGAAAAAGCCAATTACAGCCAAGTACTTCACACATACATAGAATCATAGTACTCAAGGGTACTTAGACACCCATGAATAATAATAATGTGTGGCAAGGTTAATAATTCCCAAGAACAATGCAAAAGTTATATAGGGCCACCATCTATCATATTCCTTTTAATAACTCCTCCTGTATTCTACTCTTCAATTATTACAACATCTTTTGCTGGATGAAGAAGCCTGAATAACTTCAAAAACTTGCGATATGTTATTTTGGGTATTTCTATTGTTCAATTAAAACATCACTCTATTGTGGATCTTGTATTCTGTTGTATAGTATTTTGCTGCACAACCAACACAACTGGTTAGATATTTCCTGAATCTGAAGATACCAAATTTCCATTTGCTAATATGTGGTTGGTTACGGGTTCAAACCCACTTCACCTAAAAAAAACTGGTTTACTCATGGTTAACCTAGTCCCCATGCTAAGTTCACGAGAAGTAAAAAATTAGAGTTCCTTGAGAACTGCAGGCATTATCTCAACCATATTTTGATAATTTATTCACACTATAATTACCTTTCTGCCAATTTACATTACAACAGCAGCAATAGCTGACAAAGTGGAAGCGACCAAGTTTTGATGTCACAGATGTTTAATAAACATTTTTGACATGAAGAAGACATAATCCATCAATACAGGCATCAGAATCTGACTCCTCAGGTTAAATTCCATAAGAAAAACTGAAGTTTAAATACAATTTATGATGTTTCCATGTATATAACAACTATGATAGTCTGTGCTTGCTTTAAAAGTTTATACTTTAATTCCTCCTAAATTATCAAATATTTTTCAAATAGGTACCAGATTAAAGATATTTTATGTAGTTTCTAAAAATGTAGTAATATATGTGGATCATAGATCTTGATTTTTAGATATTCCAAGTTAAAATGAAAATATATATGTAAGAGATCTTTCAAAATTATGTAACTGATTCTAATCAACATTTTTTGTGAAATTTGAGCACAATTATAGATTTTATTATGTAGTTTCATGTGTTTTTACCCTATGTAATTATCTGTAATAGTTTTTGAAATGTTATTTTGTAAAACCTGAAAGTAGTCACATCACTGCTTCAACAATACATAGCCACATCACTGCTCTCTTGTTTTTCCCCCTTACAGAGTTCTTTCTTACATCCACCTTCTTGCTCCTCCCATTGGGATATAAAAGGAAGGCATGAAAGCAGTTGAGAGTCATTCCAAACACAGCTTACTGCGTAATTTTCTTCTACCTTGAGTTGCTGTTCTGATAATTAAAGCCCTAAAAGTTGCTATTATTTCCTTTTATCCATCTGACTCCAGAAGATACCTAAACATCTATCAAAGCAACTGAACATTTTTGAGTTAATGGCAAAAAAAAGAAAAACCAAATTTTGAAGACCAAGAAGGCAGCAGGTTGAGAAGACCAAGAAGGCAGCAGGTGGTACTGATAAAGACCCCACAAGATGCAAACCTGAATTGCAGGTGAAAACCGAGGAAACCATGGAAATTTAGGTGTCTACCACTGGTTCATCTCCAAGCCCTGCCAAACAATTTGCTATTTGCTGTTCTACTCAAATAAGAGGATGGTTCCTTTTTTTGCTTTCTTTTTGCAAAGGACTTCATCAGATGAGAATCATAGAGTTGGAAAAGACCTTGTGGGCCATCCTGTCCAACCCCCTGTCAAGAAACAGGAAAATCGCATTCAAAGCATCCTCAACAGATGGCCATCCAGCCTCTGTTTAAAAGCCTCTAAAGAAGGAGCCTCCACCACACTCCAGGGCAGAGAGTTTCACTGCTGAACAGCTCTAACAGTCAGGAAGTTCTTCCTAATGTTCAGGTAGAATCTTCTTTCCTGTAGTTTGAGGCCATTGTTCCATGTCCTAGTCTCCAGGGCAACAGAAAACAAGCTTGCTCCCTCCTCCCTGTTACTTCTCCTCACATTGATACATGGCCATCGTGTCTCCTCTCAGTCTTCTCTTCTGCAGGCTAAACATGCCCAGCTCTTTAAGCCACTTCTCATAGGACTTGTTCTCCAGACCTTTGATCATTTTAGTCATCCTCTTCTGGACACATTCCAGCTTGTCAACATCTCCTTTCAATTGTGGTGCCCAGAATTGGACACAGTATTCCAGATATGGTCTAACCAAGGCAGAATGGAGGTGTAGCATGACTTCCCTGCATCTAGACATTATATTTCTATGGATGCAGGCCAACATCCCATTGGCTTTTTTTGCTGCCGCATCACATTGTTGGCTCATGTTTAACTTGTTGTCCACGAGGACTCAAAGGTCTTTTTCACACGTACTGCTCTCGAGCCAGGCATTGTCCCCCATTCTGTATCTTTGCATTTCATTTTTTCTGCCAAAGTGGAGTATCTTACATTTGTCACTGTTGGACTTCATTTTGTTAGTTTTGGCCCATCTCTTTAATCTGTTAAGATTGTTTTGAAGGAGGGAAGCAGGAGAACACATTGGGTGGGGAAACTTTCTTACTCCATTCTCTCCCAGCAAGGTCCATATTCAGGAATGGCCAGCCATTCCACAACTTTCCCCATCTTTTTTTTTTTGGAATCCAACTCCTGAGAATGGAGATTTCTTTCCATCTTTATTTATTTATTTATTTATTTTGTACATTTCTATCCTGCCTTTCTCCCCACAATCCATCTTGTACGCTGGCAAGACGGATTCCCATGGGAAACCACCAGAAGTGGCCATGTGTCATGGGAGTGCCTCTGTGGGACTCTGTTTTACCAGCATGCAAAAACAGAGAAAATACTAGGGCCATGTGATGAGATCCTTAGAGTTAACATACAGTAGTCAAGCTGACCCATGAGTAAGCCAACCCATTTTTTGTGTTTAGTTTTTGACTAAAGATTCTAGACTTATACATAGTACATAGGGTAGATCTTAAATCAGTAAGTTCTCACATTTTTACAAGTCCAATGTATATTTAAAAATGAGTCTTCCTTATCTTGACAGCCCCAGATTGGTTTGAAAGATTCTGAGACATTTGTTTGGGGTTAAATTCCATATATAAATTGTCTTATACAGGTGTTCTTTACTACACAAACTATTTTTTAAAATCTTTACACCACACACCCCTCCCCCCAGCATTCATATGAAATATTGGGCTCACCTTATCTGTTTTGCAGGTTCACCTTCAGTCTATTTTTTTACAATCCTTTATAACCCCTTTTTTAATAACATGGCCATTGTCTTGACACAACTCTAAATAGATCTCATTTTCTCCAACCTCTGTGGCTGCATTTCTCTTATCTTGATTAAATCTATTCTTAAGTTGCATATAAGCAAGCCAATTAAGATCTTTGCCTTCCTTGGAAAGCATCTCTCTTGCTTTAAACATCCAACTTTCTTACTCAAAGTACAAAAGGATTGCCATAAAGCAAGCATCTCTGATTTTTAACCCACTATTTCCTGGAAAAGACTTCCTCCAGTGAGGTGGCTAATATTATCTTAGGAAAATGTCTCTGCTTATATTTCTACGAAACCCATAGGAGAGCTTTTCTAATACAAATGATTGTGCTTTCTTTTAATAACAATATGAAACTAGCAGTGCAAATCCTATGCAAATCTGCCTGCGAGTAATCCCCTTAGAGTTTAATGATACTTACTTCTAGGTCTTGGGTTTGGTGTTGTGGGCAAGATGTTGAATTCAATAGTAGATCTATGTAGAGTGAAATGATGAAAATAAATGAGATAGGTGATCACAATTGACTTACAACCACTGATCTTAATTGATCTAGTTTAAGGAGGACTATCATTGCATTTAACTCAGGGGTGGAAATCATGAGGCTGTCTGGATGTTGTTGGACTGTAACTCCCATGACCATTTTTGTTATGCTGACTAGGGCTCCTAGGCATTGCAGTCCATTAGCCTCTTTAGGGCTACATATTCCCTACTTCTGATTTTGCACATGGTTTGTAGTTGTTTCATGTACATTAGCATATATGCAAACACACACATCACTATAAGCTATGTATTGAAATACATTTTAAAACCATCAGTCCCCCACAATTGTGGGTTTAACTTTTGTAGATTTGCTTATTGATGGCTTTTATGGGAAAAGTATGATAGCTGGGACCCAATGCCGAGACAGTGCAGCGAGTGAGAGACGCAGGTGCGACAGAGTTGTGGCAAGATAGTTCAC